TAATACCAATTGTTAGAACAATGTTCTATCAGGATCGTATGATTCTAAGCAAAATATAAATAAGAATGTAATTAAGAACACAAGTATTGCACTAAATATGTCGAATGATTAATGCAAAGATACCCCAGAAGAGCTCGATAAAGAACCTCAATCTATAGAGGTATATTAGGGTTACAAGAATCAACGTAATCGACTATTCTATATTATACGCATACATGCATGCATATATTTATACTAAAACCCTAACAGCTTATCTAGATAAAAGGAAACTATTCTAGATAACTACGGATGGACAAGCCCAATCCGATTACAAAACAAAAAGGCCCAAGATGCAACACTAAAATACTTAACACTATATCTCATATTAAAAATATGAATTCATAGTAAATAATATTCTTGTTGATCTAATCATTGCTACTTGTGAAAAACGTCGAATCACAATCAACGTCATTTGTATGATGAGGACCATAGTCAATGAAATAAGTATGAGAAAATCCTTTTACTACAAGTCTTGTTTTAAATGTGTATGGTTATACATGTAATTTATTATTTCTAGAAGAATCATTTACTCCTTCTAGCCTTGCTATAGGGATAAATTTTAATCAAGCTCATACTTGATTCTCATAACTATAGAATTAAGCACAAGTAAGCCCATACTTGACTTTGCAGTTAATATATAGTATAATTTGTATTCATGTAAAGCACAATTAAGCATAACAGTAGAAGTTTTTCTACCCTTTTCCTAAAATAGTTAAAGATCCAAAAACAAAACTATATGAGCATAAGGGTAGTTCTTGTACACTTCTATTTGCGTGTTTACTTTTTTCGGTTTTTGAATTCTTTGTCTATTTTAAAGTTATTTTAGTTTATTTGTATTTCAAATACATCAACAGGTTATTGTTTTTACTTTTACTTTTTTTGTTTCAATTTGTTTCTTGTTTGCACTTTTTATAAGTTTCTATCAAACTGATTTTGTTTTATTTGTTTCTTCTCCACACCTTTTATAAGCATTTGTTTGTTAAATCAAATTGTTTATTTGTTTGTAGTATTTTATTGAATTTGGGAGTAAACTTTGTTTATTTTTAATGTAACTTTGTTTTAACTATTACTTTGAGATATACATTTTTAGATTTATTGGGGTTTGAAGAAGAATTATTGTTTTAATCATTAAAGCAAGAAAGAATCATAAGCTTGTAGCATGCTTAATCTTTTTATGATTAACTTAATTAACTACTGTATTGATATGAATTTTACCATATGAATATCTTATGCAACTATTATTGGGGTTCTACATGATTTTATGACTTCCAAAAATGTTATTTTCATTTTTCTCTCAATTTAGATTGAATAAAAAATATCCTAATGAGAACATAGGTGTCAAGAAAGCGAGTCAAGCTGCTTCAAATTAAGACAAATGGTTTGGTTTGTTTTTGGACGACAACATCTATGTTCTATTCCTTAAGTGATGGTAGTTCTAGAAAAATAATATCAAACAATATATGGTTTGAAATTTTATTTAATAAAGATAAAAATGATTGATGAAACCTTTTTGATCAAAATATTTGATTAAATGCCTAAGGAGATCTTTGCCTCATGTAAGGTTTAAATCCAAATTCTTTGCCTCGTGTGAAAATTTGATTCCAAATCCTTTGTTTGATGTGAAAAAGTTGTTTTTCTTAAGAAAATAATGAGATAAATATGTATTGTTTTTCTTTAGAACAGCTGAGGTACATATATATTGACTCATTATAATGTAGAGAAAAATGAAACAAGTTCAATCTATTGAATTTTCAACGTATAGCCCAAGGGTGGATTGTTATGAAAATAGAAACAAGAAGGTATGCAAGGCAAAGACATAAGCAAATCAAATAGAAAAGGTCTGATGTTGTTCAAGTTAAGAAAAAAGACAGGTCGATTGAATATTTTAGAGAAAGAAATCGTCTTTAAAATCTTTGTTCTATGCGATAAAGTAGTTAAGTAAAACTGTAAAAACCAGATAACAGTTTTTCATGCAATGGGCTTTGTATAAATGTTTGAAATGAAGGCAATTGGAATTCTACCAAGATGATAATATTTTCCTATTACATCATTGAAAGGTTTTATCTTAATACCATGATCATCAATGTATGGGGCTGTTGGAACTTTAATAATGGGAAAATGTCTTTTGGTACTTATCTTACGTTGGAAGAAATAAACATTTTCTACTTTATAAAGCTTTATTTTAGTATTTTACTAATATGATTAAAAGTTTGGGCTAAAGAGATCGGGTTGGAATGATGGCAATGCAAGTGATATGTCGTGAGCCTATATACTCGTTTGGTGATGGTGACACTGATGTTGTGTCGTGAACCTACAGGTCCAAGGGATGACGATGAAAGCCCACAAGTTCGATATTCATATACATAGTTGTTGCAATGATATATATTGTATTTTGAGGAATTCATTAAATTTTATGCTTACGTTTTAAAGTTAAATGGTTTTCAAATTGTTCTTCTGGTCGTGGAAAGAGCCCAACATGAATGTACTGCATATGCATTGATGATTATTTTATGATTATAGTCTTCTATTGAATTTTGAGATGATTATGATACTTTTTAGGATAAAATTTAGTATTGTCAAAATAATTATTTATCTTGGTATTATATTGGAAATGTTTTGGATTTACCTATGATTTTAAAATGAAAATTTTTGTTAGAAATTTGTGATGTTCAAGTGAGTTTTATGAATGGTTGGGATTAGAAATTCGATCGAAAAGGATTTTGCAATTCTCTACCATGAGCTTAAACTTAGAAATTGAGGAAAATAGGACACGTTAACATTAGTTTAAAATTTAACTTGTACTAACATGGTAAATACTAATATCAAAACTTTTGAAATCATAAGCACCAAAAACACTTAAAAATGAAACATATGATCTTATAACATAGTAAATGCTAACATCAAAGTTCTTGAAACTTAGTAACATGGTATTATCATGATATTTTAATTTTTATACCATTATCGTGCTATTATTACTCAGTTGGTATGGTACTATTATCCAAACATATTGGTTACCAACATTATTCATGTGATTGATACACATGTTGGTTTGTTTCTATGATACATATTTGACAACCCCAGTCTAATATAAAGATTCATTTTATTATCTTGTTCATTATGTTAAATATTTTATTATGTATTCTTTAGTGGTTTCAGTGCATCATACCATATTGAATCGTGATCCATTCTAATTCTACCATGTGATATATTAGATATCTCTTACTATTTAGGTTATCTGTCATACATACCTTCGAAGGGAGCAGGGTCCTATTTAGGTTAGGGTTTGATATTTTAAAAAACCAAAAAATCGGGTTCGGTTTCAGTTTTTACCTAGAAACCAACCCATCCAAACCGGGAAACCGACTCATACTTAAAACCGACAAACCGTCCCAAGAAACCGACCCATCTAACCCAAAAAACCATCCATACTTGATTGTGTTTTTGTTGTAATAGACTATTTTCGGACTTTGGTTGTAACTTGTAATAGACTATTTGTTATAAGACTCATATTTTTTGAAATATTTAACTTCAATTTGGTGTTTTTTAAGTATTTAGCTTGTTGTTTCATTTATAGAAAATGGGTTAAAACCCAAAGCCCATAGGTTTAAACCAAGAACCGGTGAGTATATGGGTTGAACCTAAGAAACCGAAAAACCGACAACAGAACTCGAGAAACCGAACCGACCAGAAACCGATTCTATGGGGATTTGAAAACTAGAAACCGACCATTTATGGGTTGGGTTGGGTTTGGATCCAAAACCGACCCATGCACATAGCCTGAGTTCCCCAAAATACCATGTATCATACATATCAAACATATAATGGGTCCCGCCCATCATTGGGTCCCACCTGGAATTGGGCCCCTCCCGGCATCGAGCCCCGCTCGGAACAAATCTGTCGGTCATTAGTGGCGTCTGTCCCTGCCTGGTGTACATATAAACACATAAATACATGCATAAAAATCACAAAGATAAATAGCATGCACTGTAATCACCAGGCCCCGCCCGATAAACATATAAACACATAACACATGTAAGAGTCACGTAAAGAACTAGCATCCTACACATAATCAACCATGGGCTGGCATTGGTGCCTTCGACCCACTAAACACGGTGAGGAAACTCACCTCAAGCTGCAGAATTGCTCAGATAAAATTTCAGTCCGTTGTTCTGGAAAATCTCCACGCTAACATCATCAAATAAATATCCAAGTAATAATTGGATCTCGGCCCACAATCAAAAATCTAAGTTACTTCTCAAATATCTAAGTTAAAAAGACCATTTTACCTTTTCTTTTACTTGGCTTATAACCAAGGCCCAACCCGCTTGCTCAAAAGGCCCAATTTCCTAAATGGTATCCCAAGATCAATAAGGCTCAACTTCCAAATTGGACCCAACAATCATCATAGACCTAAACCAAAGAAAGTTCATAATCTATCCGTAGTAAAAAGTCAAAAGTCCAATGACCCAACAAAACCCAAACCCGAGGAAGTCAACCCGAAAGTCAAACAGCCGAGTACGCTCATGTTTGGCAAAGATAGAGCCAAATGTCCTAAAAAAACCAACTTAGGAATCATGTAGAATAGTCTCTTGAAACACTTCCAACACTTATTTGACCTCAAATGCAGTCTCCTTGTAACGAGTAACATAGCATTAACCATGTCCATTTAATAAGGCCTAAAGCTTACTCCCTATCCCTAGTAACCTTATGGTTATCAGGCAGGTAAGAGTTGTATACCAAAAAGACCAAAAACAAAACATTTTCACCAATTGAAACTCACAAATCGAGGCATAAAACAGATCAAATAATCAAATAAGTTACTGATTACATCATTTAACAAACCACAAAATTATCCAAGTAACTACATATAAAACACCAAGTCCTTTTTTCAAACTCTATATCAAATAAAACAAATAATCGATTAGCCTCATGCTCATGATGAGTAAAGTAACCCCCACCCTTCATCTCCCCTCCGATTTCACCAACTGTGAGAAAACCTTACTCATCGACACCCCGGAAATATCATCACCGCTCGACATCTCAAACTGAGCCGCCCCATCACCGCCACCATCACCGCCACGATTAAAGTCATGAATCACCGGCGACAACTCCCCGATCACATTCGTACTATTCTCATCCGGATCATTCTGAAGAACCGCTTCTTGAAGTTGAAGCACATATTCAAGATTCCACAAAACATCACCCATCGAAGGCCTATCAACCCCAAAATCAGACAAACATTTCTCAGCCGTTTCACCAAATTTCCTCAAAGAATCCGCCCGAATCTTCCCCTTCAAAGTCACATCAATTATCTGTTCAAGCTGCCCTTTCTTCTGCCATTTCATCGCCCATTCAGCCAAATTCACCATCTCACGGGGCAAAGACGGGTCGATCACGGGTCGAGCACACAACACCTCAAATAGAACAACTCCAAACGAGTAAACATCTGACTTTTCAGTCAACTGTTGACGCCTAAAGTACTCCGGGTCAAGGTACCCGAAACTACCTTTGACCGCAGTACTCACATGGGTCTGGTCGATTTCGGGCCCCGTTTTCGAGAGCCCGAAATCAGCCACTTTCGCCATTAGATTTTCATCTAACAAAATATTGGCTGACTTCACATCACGGTGGATCACCGCCTTTGAATAACCCGTATGTAAATAATGTAACCCGCGGGCCGCCCCGATGCAGATTTCAAGACGTTGCTTCCAGCTCATGCTTGGAAAACCCGACCCGTATAGATGACTTTTTAAAGTCCCGTTTTCCATGTATTCATATATAAGAATCATCTCCGATTTTTCATCACAGTATCCAATTAGGGAAACTAAATGACGATGTCTGAATTGTGAAAGCATTTCGATTTCTGTTTGGAATTCGGCTAAACCTTGTTGGGATTTTGGGTTTCCTCTTTTCACAGCTACTTTTGTTCCATCGCTTAAAACACCTTTGTAGACTTTACCAAATCCACCGATTCCGATCACCCAGCTTTCGTCAAAATTATTGGTGGCTTCTTGAATTGCTGCGAATGGACACCTGTAATTGAAGTTTGAGCCAGCACTAATGGTTGTTCCATTGGAGTATTTGCTGCCCATTGTTTGGGAAATCCCGTTGGTTGATAATGGAATCCAGATCTTTGATTGGTTGAGTTGTTCCTGTTTTCGTTTTTTGTAAACACAGAAGAAAACGACACCTGCTAAAAGTGCTACAAGAATTCCGACGACTACACCGATGATCAGACCGATGTTCTTTTTAGAGCTAGAATTGGAGGACGGGATGTTTCCACCGGAAAGACTACCGTCGGAATTACTCAACTTCATAATCTCGACGCCGTTCAGTATAGCGTTAGGGTAAACGTCTTTGATGGTGGAAGGGCCGATGCTGATGCGAATTTGGTTTTTATTAAGCGATTGGGTTACGAAATCGGAGTATGACGCCGTGGCTAAGCTTCCGCCGAACTTGGTGGAGAGATCGTAATCGGGTAGAACGTTGGAGTCGTCGATGTAGACGTTGAAGTAGAGTGTATTGGCAGAAGTACTTACGATATCGCAAAAATGGAGGCGGACGAGATACTGGAATCCACGATCCACCGGGAACTCCCAGGTGACGTTGAAATTGGCTTTTGGGTCGTTTTCAGATGCCATCGTTGCGGCGGTTCCATAGACGCTGACCGGAGCATCGTTTTGAGTAGCGCCGGCGGGTGGGTATCTAACAGCGGTGGGATTTGAAGCATTCGATTCAAAATTCCGGTTCTTTGAATAGCTCAGATCAGTAACCCAAGACCTCCACAATGAATCATTCCGGGATGTGACCACCGGACCTCCCATGTTCACCCTAGCAAGCGTCTCCAGCGCCTTATTCAACATCCCTTTGAAGTTTGTCGGAGGATTGACGGACATTGCATCATCAGGGATCAACGGATCTGGAACCGAAACAACTTCTAAACCATTCAAGAAAGCAAATGAACTCCCGGTAGGTGTAAAGGTGATTTCAAGGTCGCCGGAGGTGACATTTACTGAATATTCTTTGGTCTGAACACCTTCGGCTTTGAAATCGCTCAACAGAGAGTGATCTGGAGTTGAAACGGAGAAAACTGCGGTGGTTAGATTGTAATTACTGGCGGAGAATGGGAAGAAATAAAGACGGATCCAGTGACGACCGCTTTGAGTGATTCGAAAAGTGTATGTAGATGTTTGAGTAAAGATTCTTGCTGTTTTATACAGCGGAGAGTATTCAGAAGAAGGAATTGAATTTGCAGAAGTATCAACCAAAACATTTTGTGGGGTTGAAAGAAAACTCGAAGCCAAACTATCAGATAAAAACACCCGATTGCCGATGGTGGTGTTGCTCGGAGATCCACAATCAATCGAATACTTATCCGCCGGATTAAACTGAGAATAACAAGAAGATAAACACAACAAGAACACAACCCCGATAAACAGTAGCTTCAACCCCACAAAACCCATCATAATAATTCGATTTCAGAAGGGGGTTTTCACAATAATCGATAAATACAAAAGGGGTTTGCTTCGATAATTAGAAATCTAGGGTTCTTGAACCCAGATCAGTAGCAATTAAGAGATCTACTATCCAATACCCATATAAAATTTGAAAGAAAATGAAACACCTGACAGATCAAGAACAGCAGATTTGACGAATTAACCAGATGTTAACTGATGCGCTGTGGAGAACAGAGAAGATATTGGGATTAATCAAAGCATAAATCTAGCGAGGAGCCAGCCAGGCCGGTATGAACAGGACGGCAAGCATCAGATGGTGACAGATTGATAGATTCGTTCGGGTTAACGAAAACGATTAATAAAATAATATGAAAAATCAGCTGTGTATTGATAGGATGAAATTTGGGGTCAAAGGGAAATGGTAAGAAAGTTTTGTATTTTTCCTTTTTTTTCAAAAGGATGATGGAGATTGTTCTTGTTGGTGGTGAGTAGTGGATGAAGACGAGTGTAAAGAGAATCGGAGAAGAAAAAAGATAAAATAGACAACCTTGGTAGAAGCCTGCAATGGCGGAATTAGACCAAAGGAAATGTTTTACTTAGTCACCTTTAACTTTCTAACTGCTCTATATAGGTCCCTTACACTTTTCTTAATTCAAATAAGGTCCATGAAAGCTGTTATTCGCTATAAAGTTTGGCCTTTTGTCGCAATTCATATTCTAGCGTTCGTTTGTTTCCGCATTGATTAGGGTTGTCCATCTTTTTTTTTATTATTATTTTTTATTTATTTTATATATAGTGGTTTTTTTAAATAATGGGTTCAAGTCCATATGAAACATAGAAATATAGATCGATTAAAAAAATTATTAGTTTTATCGTTAAAAAAATACATCTACAATATAAATTTTAATAAAAATTTATATATATATATATATATATATATATATATATATATTTAAATATTTAAGAACTTTAAATTTATAAAAAATAAAAAATAATAATGAATTATTATGATAGAAATATTTTTTATCTTTTAAATTTAAACAAATAATTTAAATAAATAAACAAAAAAAAACTAATGAGCTTTAATTTTAAAAATTTTGAAGTTAAAAAATAAATTCATTAATGACAATGATATCAATTTAAATAGTACATTTATTATAATTATTACATTAAAATATTATGTGGAATTTAAAAAAAAAAAAAAAAAACTTATAAAATAGCATGTAGAAAAAAAATTAATTCAAAATAACCATAAAAAAATAAAAAATAAAATAAAATCATATTTGAAAAATTAAATGAAAATGTGACATGTGGCAAAAAGAAAACATATTATATGAAAATGTATATGAAGTTCAAATTGTTCAGTAGATAATTCTTTTTAATATAAACAAGTAGAAGAGAAAGTTGACACTCCTTAAAATTATATTTCAAAAGTATACAACCAAAAATGGACACTGCTGGAGAAAATTCAAAAATGTTGTGACAAAAATGTTAAAGTTGCCAAAGTTGGGAGAATATGCTGACAAAATTCAAAAGGAGGGTTTTTTTTTTCTTTTTTATGTCAAAATGTAAAAGCTTTTACTACAAGGACGAAAAGTATCAAATTCATAAAGATTTTTGGCAAAAACATAAAAAATGTAAAACTTTTGACTATAAGGATTAAAAGTGTCAAACTCACTAAAGATTTGTAGCAAAAACCAAAAGGCAGAAAAATTCAATCAAAACACAAAAATATAAAATTTTAGAATTTAAGGACGAAAAATATTAAATACACCAAAAATTTATGATAAAAACCTAAAGCCTAAAATATACTATTCCTAAATTTCATTTTTTTAATATATATATATATATATATATATATATATATATATATATATATATATATATATATATATATATATAATGATTTCAAGAAAAATATAAGTTTTACATGCCTTTTGAGGGAAAAATATATAATTAAAAGAGTTGAATAATAATGTCACAATTTATTTATGAAGTAAAAATTCAATACGATAATAGTGAGTATATTTATGTCGTTCTTAAAGTTATCTTTTTATTCAAAATATCTATATATTTAAGGGTTTAGGTCATTTTTGGTCACTTAACTTTTAGTTTTGTGCTCATTTGGTCATTTAACTCTTTTTAAGTTTTAAAAGGTCATCAAACTTTTGGTTTTGTGCTTATTTAGTCACTTAACTTTTGGTTTGGTCACATTTAGTCACCTAACTTTTAAAATTATGCTCATTTAGTCACTAAACTTTTAAATTTTTTCAAAAGTTTAGTGACTAAATGAGCATAATTTTAAAAGTTAGGTGACTAAATGAGCATAAATCTAAAAGTTAAGTGACTAAATATGACCAAACCAAAAGTTAAGTGACTAAATGAGCACAAAATCAAAAGTTTGAAGACCTTTTAAAACTTAAAAAGAGTTAAGTGACCAAATGAGCACAAAACTAAAAATTAAGTGACTAAAAATGACTTAAACCCTATATTTAAAGTTATCTTTTTATTCAAAATATCTATATAATTGTACAAAATAAAACTGCAAGGACAATCTGTATAAAAAATAATTTTAAAATCAAATCTACAATAATAATAATAATAATAATAATAATAATAATAATAATAATAATAATGAAGGAATAAAAATATAGTTTAGTTAAAATATATTATGATTTCATTCAAATCAAAACCCATATTAGATTCTTGTTTACTTGAATTCAAAGATATGTAGTTAATGTAGATTATGTAAATATATCTTTTTACTTTTATAGTTGCGTATTAATGAATTAGCTATCTTTTGGTCTATGTGGTTTATTTAAAATTTGTCATATGAATATGACAATAATTATTCTATAATTTTTTACATTGAGATATTTATTCAAACAGTCTCTTCCAAAACAAATTTTCTACAAAAATAGTCCCTCTAACTTATAAAATGGTCTCTTTTTAAAAAAAAAGTTGCATAAATGATCCAAAAACAAATTACACTTTTAATTTATAAAATAGGTCCATATGTTGAATTCTTTTTACAGGAATGATCTCTATGTTTCAGAAAAACTACATAAATGGTCCCTTCTTAATAACGAATTTGCAAAAATGCTTCTTATTTTTCATAAAAAGTAAAATAACATCCCTGTCTATTAGCAAATGTACAGAAATTGTTGTAGAAATCGGGATTAATCGGCGATTAGTCATGGATTAATTGTTTGGCGTTCTCCAACCGTCAAGGATTATAGTATTAATCGGAAATTTATGATTAATCGAGTTTGGCGACATTAATCGGTTTTGGCGGGATTAATCGGTCAATAAAAGTCAATAAAAAATTAAAAAAAAAAAAAAGTGGAAAAAGTCAAAAAAAAAATAATAAAATAAAAAAAAAATCAAAAAATCAACTTTTTACTTCAAAATTTTCAAATTTTCGAAATTTTTAATATTTTTTCAAAATATTCATATTTTCAAGTACAAATTTTTTTATTTTCTAATTTTGAAGTACTTGTTTTTCTTAAGATATATTAATATTTGACTATTTTTAATATTTTATTAATAATCTATGGTTCCTGATTAATCTCTACTAAGACTGATTAATCATTTAACACCAGTTAACCGTCGAACTACCATTAAACGATTTTTACAACTTTAAAAGTTTGTAAAATAAATTAATTAACCCTATGTATCACAAAACTAGAGAAATGGTCACTAAATATTAAAAAAAATTATAGAAATATTCCTTATCTAAGAGAACATTTAGAAAATTTGTATGGAAATGTGTGATTAATAAATATGGTGCAACATGCAGGCCACCCGGTGATTTTAGGCTCTATTTGAGACATTAGTTGAAAAGTTAATAGTTGATTGAAAATTTAATTCTCATAACTGAAAATCTAGGTGTTAATTAATAAAGTAACTCATAAAATTGAAGTTTAGTAAAAAGTAGTTGATAAGACTATGTGCAACCTTATTCTATTTACCTCGTTATGCATTGTTAGAACTAATATGTATGGACAAAATGTTAATGTATTTTAACACACCAAAACATTGTCACCTCTCATGTCATGGTAGTCAAGGTGATATAATATCAATTAGAAAATTAGCAACATGTTATAACATTTATTAATTTCTATTCATTATTGTTTTTTTTCAATTTCTTTTTTTTTTTTTTTAATTTCGATTTATTTTTTTATGTATAATATTTATAAAAACAAATATAAATTAATACAACATGTTATTTAATTAAATCCTAAATAAACATAACATTTAAAAAAAAAAAAAAATAACATAACACAAAAAAATACATTGAACACAAAAAATACGATAGTTATAATTTAAAAACATAAAACGGTAGTCCTAGTCCAAATATCTCATGTGGATCTTCTCCTTCACCGCATGAAGCACTCCCAAATATCTTGGCAACATATCTTCCTCGTTGGTCCGAAGAATTGCCAAGTCATTCATCATTTGATCTTCATCTTCTTAACGACGAAGGAACTTTGTGGTGGCATTGTACTTCGACTCTTTCTTTTGCTATTAAATTGTGTGCGTCAAATTTCTCTTTCATTTCCACCAAATCTTGTACCATTCTTTCAGCTTCATTTGCATGTCGTTGAGCGTGCTTTGTTTTATCGCGTCTAATCGGTCGTCGTATGGGGAGATCTCTTTGATGTTGTCCAGGATCTCATTCATGTCGGCGTTAAGGTGTATGTTAGTTGGTGCGTCGAAACGTGAAACGAACTTGAATCGCGATACCTCTTTGATTCTATCTCTGACGATATTGGCGTTATAATTCATTTTGGATCTTTTCTCACAATCTCCCATGTTTTTTCATACTCGAAAACGTGACTAATTTCGACGCGATATTGCTCCCTTATGGCTCTAAACACATCAAAATTGTTCGCACCACTTTGCTTTTGCGAAACAATATCGTTTTAGGTCCCATTAAACTTGGTGCACCTACGACTGATTGGAGTCCACTTGCAACTTAACATATCGGTATTGTGATATGAAGG